GTACTACAGTAGCTCCACTGTTATGTTGTCGAGTGTTGAAGCTGATCCTGTTACTTAGCAGCGTTGTACATGTAGTTACAAAGTGGACGTCCGAAAGAACGGACTACACTCTAGTTTAGTGTGTACTACTTACTACAGCCGTACAGGTAGTAGCAGTCCCTGTGACTGTGACTGTGAGAGGAAAATTAAAATGTTACAGTCCCCGGGCATGCAGTGCTTTGTGGACGCGAGGAATTCGTCCAACTGCACACACACACACACACACACACGCACACCAGGCAGTCCTGTCTGAGAGTGAGACGACCGCTCAAAAGGGACCTTCAAACTAACGTTACTTCATCTAAGCGTGGTCTCTGTTGCCAGGTGGTCTCCTTATCCAGGGTCATCTGACTGGATCATGGAAAGAGCATGCCTTGTGACCCCTGGTGGTCGCCTTCACAGGTTTTGCTGTATCGTGTGAGATGTCACGATCATCGTGACGATGTGAACCAAGTCTGTCACAACAAACGAAGTAGTTTCTTCCACTGTTCCAGTAAATGTTCACAACTCACTGCCGTAACTGCCGTAACTGCCGTTACCTCGTGAGTACAGTACTGTAGTGTAGATCTACCTGGACTGATGTCTGAAGTGAACTGAAGCCCAAGTGAACAGTTTACTTGACGCGATCGCCCGGATTTCATATCTGCGCTGCATCACCAAGACTACAGTCATTTTTGAAAGAATGCTAACTACATATACAGAGTGAGGCACTCAGTGGCGGATCCAGGGGGGGTTCCGGGGGTTCCATGGAACCCCCTAAATTTTGCAAAGTGTGCGGCTGAGAAATATCGAAAAATATCATGTGTGCACAAAACTCAAGGGCGTCCGTCCGATCACTCACAGTCAGCGCAGTCACTGAGTCAAGGAGCACAGACTGTCAGCCAGTGCACTGCATGCGCGTGCGGTAGATCGATACTGTACGGATAGTAGTCTGTACTGGTGTTCACGTCCGTGATTTACAAACGGACACTGTAGACAACATTGGGTGGTTGTTTCCTTTTTGATCTTTCGAAACGATCCAAACTTACCTCCATTGGCGCTGTCATTCACTGCTGCTCAGGATGGGTGTGGTGTGGTCAGTATTCCTTGGACAAGTTTTTTGCAGAAGAGAAAGGATGTTCCGAGTACTGACACTCTTCAACGAACTTCGAACCGTACACGTAGAGTTCAAGCTCCTCAGAAGATGAGGGCTCCGACATCCAAGTCAGTAATCTCTACCTGCTGCAGCATGCAGTAGTGACTAGTTGTTCCTCCGCAGGAACGGAGTGCTGCGCCAGCGATGTGTTTTAGATGACATTGGAAGGATTGTGCAATTGTCGACACTGTTTCGCTGTTTTTGTTTCTGTCACTGAAGTGAAGACGATGCTCTTGTCCTGTGACTATAGAGCATTTCGCATCGTAAAAATGCCAAAAATTTCCGAAAGTACACGTACAAATGGACAGGGAAAGTAACTTAGTTGTCATTTCGGCATTCCTGGCTCTCAACGTACCCATGGCTTGCATATTCGATCTTTACAAGAAGTTGAAAGGGTCTTCAAGCCCTCACTGAACCTGTGTGCCAGTCGATTGTATACATCAGGGGCGTCGGAACCGGTGCGGCAGGTGCGGCCAAAGCCGCACTAATAATTATTTTATTAGTGCAATTAGGAGTATAATCGATGCAGACATGGCCAGACAACAACGAGTTCATGGAATTTTTAAGGATTTTTTATGTTATTCAAAATCGATTTTCGTGTTCCGCTCATCAGTGAATAGTATCGGAACTGAGGGTACTGTGTACAAAAATAGAACATTTTATAACAGCATAATTAATTAAAAGTGTGAACAACAAAGGAAGTGCTACAGCATTACATAATAGGTGTCAAACATAGTGCTAACGTATATAACTGAGTGCAGCCACAAAGCAAGAAGTGATACAGTGCAACATGACACAACATTTACATCTGATAACCAGCTACGAGAACAACTTTAGCGCGACTACGTGCTTCTTTTGTTTACAAAGAACAGGATTATGCACACGAATACATACAGCTTCCAGAACCTTCAACTGCTTAACATAACTTGCACGGCACAAAACAGAAAAGTGAGAATCATCGTACACACTAAGACAATCTGGACGTGATAACAAGTGACAAAATACAGCTGACTTTTTGCTCACGTCGCTCTCTTCCGTCTCATCCCGCTCCTTTCCTTCGACCTCCTCCGCCCTATCCTCGTCCTCCGTCTCATCTTCATCATCATCGTCCTCATCACCACCATCATCATCATCATCATCATCAGTCACTTCCTCATCATCCGGTTGATGCTCAGTCTCACTGCACTCCTTATCAGCCTCCAACATGGCTCCATCATCTCCACCAGCATCACAAGTCGTTTGACCGCTGCTCCGCGTCGCCGTTGCTGGGTTCTCTGCTACTGCACACCCATTTCCATTGTCCATTTTGCGTGGGCCAAGTCCATTCCGTGCATAAATTTCAAGTGAATAGTTTGCTGTGCTTCTTCTGGGTCTATGAGTGAGGATATTGGTTTCATTTTGGTCCGTCGATGATCTCCCTCTCTGTCCAGACACAGTCGGCACCGTGGATCCCAGCACGGGGGGGACCACCGTCTCGGTAGTCACCAAAGGTAAAGGGGGGTGGCTCAGGTGGAGGCAAGTATGTATTCGTGTGCATAATCCTGTTCTTTGTAAACAAAAGAAGCACGTAGTCGCGCTAAAGTTGTTCTCGTAGCTGGTTATCAGATGTAAATGTTGTGTCATGTTGCACTGTATCACTTCTTGCTTTGTGGCTGCACTCAGTTATATACGTTAGCACTATGTTTGACACCTATTATGTAATGCTGTAGCACTTCCTTTGTTGTTCACACTTTTAATTAATTATGCTGTTATAAAATGTTCTATTTTTGTACACAGTACCCTCAGTTCCGATACTATTCACTGATGAGCGGAACACGAAAATCGATTTTGAATAACATAAAAAATCCTTAAAAATTCCATGAACTCGTTGTTGTCTGGCCATGTCTGCATCGATTATACTCCTAATTGCACTAATAAAATTGCTTTCTCCACGCCGACTCTTTAAATAATTATTTTGGAAGTTTTTTTAATTTTATTTTATTTTTTTTACATTTTCAACCTTGTTGATGGCTTGTCGACTCTTATAAAGATCTTGTACAGGTACCATGTTTTACATCGACAATGCAATGTGTCATCACTCATCAGCATGCATATTCTTATTTCTCATATTATTCTGAAGCATTAAAATATGGCCTTTTAGGCCAAATTTTCCAAAAAAATCCCAGGGGAGGAAACCCGGACCCCCCCCCCCCCCGCTCACACTTCCGCCGCACCAATGTTAAACTGCTTCCGACGCCCCTGTACATGTACATGATTATGTATCCGTACTAAATTATACAATGTATGGGTAAGCAGCAGCATTTGGCCCTGTATACAGGTTTTCCATCGTCCACCACACCACAACTGCGCTCCGACTCAGTCTCCAGCGATGGTGGTGTGCTGTGGCAACGTGTCGAGGCCGGCTGGAGAGCGCAGTTGTGGTGTGGTCGATGATGGAAAAATTAAATAATAATGTCCGTAGTGTGTTTTAAAAGCATGCGATTGCCACTAACACATTCGGATTGTCGTTATTACAAGTGCCAACCGCACATCTGATTCCATAATATTTTGGTTCTTCACTTTTGGCTCAACCGGAACCCCCCTGTAGAGATCTCTGGATCCGCCCCTGGCACTGAGAGCAGTGTGAGAATGCGCAGTGTGCGGATTAGTGCAACCGCACACTGGCCACAGCCTCACACTACACTGCTCACTAGACACTAGTCTTGTCAAGTACAGTGCTGGCAACTGAAATCCGACACCCTTGCTGGGGCGGCGCACCGGCAAGGGTGTCGGATTTCAGTTGCCAGCACTGTACAATGTATAAAAGCGATGCGCATCGCGCATAGCATCCGACATCGATGATCCAGATACATGTAGATCTACGTAGATCTACATGTATACAGTCAGATCATGTCGATTTCAGGCGAAAAGATGCACAAGTATTCACCATGTTCACAGACAGTACGAGTACTCAGTAGTAACGCAACGCCGCACGCGCAAGTAGCACACATACACATGCATAGGCATTATGCATGTGCACATGTATAGTCATCCTGATCATCTGGCGCGGCCGCATGGCGTAGTGGTGATTATGCATTGTGTGGATTTTTGACACACTCAGTGACAGTACAATGCCATGTTTGTACAGCTTTATGTGCATATGTGACAGATATACAGTCATGAGTCAGTTGTAGGCCAAAATCTAGGATTCGGCCTTTCTTGTGTCGTAGAATCAGCTCGGAGCTAGCGTTGGTGTCTTGTTGTCAGTTTTCATTTCCTTCCCTCCTGCTTCTAGTCTCAGGCGGTGTTAGTACTTACAGCTGCAATTTTGTTACTCTTTGTGCTCGTAACAATTGTGTATTCATTGCCAGTCAGTCGTCCTTTCAAACGTGATCGACCGTTTCGTGGATGTACTTCGTGCAACATTAGTAGTAGTCAGCCAGCTCAGCCGAATCAACGCTATCTCTATCTCTCCGTGTCTGAGGTCGAGGTGAGTGCTTAGCCAAGCGCTGGCGTTGCTGTTTCCTATGCAGCCATATCAGTGAGACCAGATGGAGGCAGCAGGAGCGCAATGTGCTCTAAATCTTCGTGTAAAGCCCATGTGTGTTTTCCGCCCGACTATTATTTCCACGTACGCGAAAAATAGACGGGTGTTGGGCCCGGGTAGCGTCGCCGAGTAATATTGTGACAGGTGCATTTCACTTGCTTGTTGTTCTCCGTGTTCGTGCTGCCAACGGCAGCATGGAACGCAGGATCGCAGGCCAGGGCCATGGCTGCCAATGCCGACTAACAGCATTAGCAAGCAGGCTCCTGCAGCCAAGCGCGAGCGACAAATTGCTCTGGAAAGGCTTTCCAAGCGATTTCAGCATGTATCAGTTTAGCTTTACAACAGGCTGCCATTACATGAAGCTAGTGGAACATTGAATGGATCTTCACGCACATGTGTTTTAGACAGAGAAACTAGCGGAACGTGGTGTTCAGGATTCCAGTTTGCGAACGGCCGACTTGAGCCCCATTTTTGCTGCTGTTATGTCGTCACAGACAGACAGCCACTTTGTTCTGTTCTCGTATCGAACGATGACTGACTATCTATCTCACCTCATCCACAAGTCGTGGCATTCAAGTGCTGAGTGCGTACGATGTGGTGAAAATACCGATTGTGAGGACGGATTGTGGTATCGCTGGAATCGCCTGACTAAACATACAAATTGATACAAATTGATGTACGCAATAGGCAACACCTTAGTCTCTCTCCAGTATCGCTGATGGCTGTTGGTTGGTGTTTCTGGGATCGTAATGGCTGTGTTACTGAGATAAGTGAGAAGCAGCTGCATACTCCTAGTATCTGGTAAGCAAAGTGACGGTGGACAATTGCTATAAAAGTCAATGTGCATGCCTGCCAAGACTATGCTTTTTACCAGGTTGATTGATCAGGTGCAAAACCACTCTCAGCTTGGAAATAGTCGGTGTTCAGAATATCGGAAATATAACGATAAAGACTAGCCAACAAATTTGTACAGTCGTGGCCAAAGAAATCCAACCCACGTGCCGAAAGCAGCGCCAAGGCTCATGTGGCACTGCACCCCTCGTTGTTGTACTGTGCATGCTGTAATGGAAATGGAAACGCGACACTACTTTAGACTGGTGGCTCAGACTTCTTTGCCCAGGATTGTTGTACCATGGCCACGTAACTTGTTCGTATCCGGGGTGAGGAGGGACGGGATGGCATTTTGATATTTTCTATGCACAATGCATAATACAACTTCGGCGATGCGATGGGTATCGGGCAGTGTGGTGTTTTGGAACGCGTGAATTGTCTCTTGTGAAAAGTGCAATGTGCATCGCGATGCGGCCTGCGATGTGCATCGCGAGAACCAGTGATGCAACACTATGCAAACAAAACTGTCGATTGCATCGTATGGTTTCATCACGTCACAGAACTGATAATTATTTCATTGCGCTTGGCTGTAAATGTTGAACGCACTCATTTTTGGTGCTGTGAGATTTTAGTACACTTGGGCCATTTCTTTTCTTTTCTGGGGTGACCAGTATTTATTTTTTGGTACCAACTTGTAATTCTGATGGAGTAGGATGGAATAGATAATATCTAGATATCTAGATGATAACGTGAAGTAGCATGGAAACACCGCAAAGATACTGTGATTCCAATGTCAGTACAGACGACTGCGCAATGGTGTATGCTGATGGGGGTCGTTGAGGAGACGCCAGGGTGGCTGTACTTTGAGGTATGAAAGAGGACGTGATATCCAATGGCAAATACTTGTGTATTCCAGACTGGCCGTACCAGCATGGGTCTGTCATTGTTGCAAGCGAGTACTATGCTAGTGTGCATTGGAATAACACGTCAACGTTCCTTAAAATTCCTTTTTTTAAATCCTGCATCTGCCACCTTGGTACCTCAGGCATGGTGGTGGCGTGGCGAAAGCGAAAACTTCCTAAGCGGATAGTGATTCTCAACACAATTGTACAGCAGGTGGTGATGCGAACAATGTCATGTGAACTGTAATTTACTTTTTATATTGTATTGCTACGTCGCCAGTCAGATCTCTCATAGAATGTTTCACTATATTTGTCGGCACGCTGTATTGGCGGTTGACATAGTATAATTCACCGCATGTCCACATGATGGCGTCTCGCCGAAATATTATGGCTATACAAGCGCATACTAGTAGTGCGCACCGAACCTCAAAAAATCTGTACAGGCTGTAGTCGATCTCACGTCATAAGGCAACACTGCCTGTTTGTTCTTCAACATTAAATAATCCAATTCTAATCCCAATCTATACATGTGTGTCGGCTCGTGTTCCCTCCAGGTTTACACCGGTGAAGCAACCAGCTGCGGTGGTCGTGTGTGGGCTTGTCGCGACAGCCCATTCAGTTCACACGTATACACCAGCCAGCTATAGGCGGACCACGGGTGACGATCTCCGCGTTCTACAATCATACGCGGTGAAATCCAACTTATCAACACGCTAACACTTCCTGTTGGGCAGGCCAGCGCCTTCTACAGGCTCTTGTCTGTGTCCATGCAGTGTACCACAACAACAGCAACAGCAGCAGCCACAAGCAGCTCCTAGCCAGCGTTCCTACTGTTCAGCAACCACACGCCCTTCTCAGCTATCTCGTGACGGTTCTAGGAACTCGACATCGTCGAGGCCACGTCACCGTGTGCCATGAGCAAGAAGGGGAAGCAGGCGAAATCGCCGATCAAGCTGGTGGTTCTCGGCGAAGGCGGCGTGGGCAAATCAGGTACCGTATTTTACCGGTTATAAGTCGACCCCGGTTATAGGTCGACCCCCCGTATCCGGAGGTCTTAATTATGTTTTTAAAGTGTTTGCCCAACGAAGCACTGCTAACCGCTCCCTTCTACTAACACATGAACAAATCACATAAACACTCCTCATTGGATTCTGAAACATCCCAATCCTTGAAAAAGGCAAATAAACTTGGCAAAAATGCATACACATGGTGCACTCGTGTATTCAGTGCAGGTCATTTTTGGAAGATACCGATAATTCCCGGTTATAACTATATAAGTCGAATCCCGGTTGTAAGTCGACCCCCACCTTTTCTCCTGCTATTTTCAGTCGTAAAAGGTCGACTTATAACCGGAAAAATACGGTAGGCGGCCTGGCGCGTGGCCTAAGACAATATTGCCTGTAGCGTGGCTGGAATACTACCCTCACTACTAGCTGGATCATTAGTGTCGTGTACAGCAACAGGTGCAACCCGCTGCATTATTTAACAGTGTAGTAGGCAGACGCTCTTCTGAATACAGGCAGGATTTAATGGGGAGCAGCATTCATATGTTGACATCAGAATCTGACCTGTTCACCAAGGACATGCAGCTGATTGCCAGCTGCCGGTGCACATTTAGTACGGTACTGAAACGTTGGGCACACGAATCAAAGTAGCTTTTCAACCTTATGCGAAACCTTTTACGCTATCCATCCTGGAATAGAAAGTTTCAATTTGTTTTCAAGGTTTCACAGAAGAGTTGAACAGAAATGAAGAAGACATCTTCGTTACTATACAAGTGTCTTGCTGCAGTTTCACCCTGTTGTTGTTGTCGTTGTCGTTGTCGTTGGCGTTGTTGTTGTTGTCGCCGTTGTCACTGCCGTGCATGTGCGTATCTCCCTCTCACTGTCCCTCACTTTCCAGCCCTAACCATTCAGTTTGTGAGTCATGAATTTTCAGCAGATTACGATCCTACAATCGGTAAGCTAACAATTACTTCAGTACAATGGTGCTGTTGACCTGTGTTAGTTGAATGGCTATTATGTTTTGAAGTGGCAGAGAGTTTTATATTCATCATTTTGTTTGCTGTTATCGGCTCCTTGTCTCCTGAACAAATAGCCTGGAAAGTGGTGCTGAGCACACAAACACACACACACACATACACACATACACACACACATACACACACACACACACACATACACATACACACACAATACGATACAATAATGCCCATCCACAAATGATGGCAGGTCCTGAAAGGACCGACAGTGTTTCAGTCACGGGGAACAGAACTTCGAGTGGCGACGGCAAAAATCTCGGCCACAGTGACACCTGAAATCGCGAGTCACAGGACTAGGCAGCACACACCCAAGCACACGCTTTGCAGCCAAAATACATTGTAATGTCAGGTGTGCTTTGTGTGTGTGAGAGGCCGGACGTGTGTTCGCCGACACGTTTCCCCTAGAAATTTGTTTCATTTCAAAAGCGAATAGGAACCGTTCTATCTTTGTGAAGTCCACTGAGACGACTTGCCGGAATAACGGGCTTTCAAGGCGGAACACTAGTGTACACCGGCTCCTGTTCCAGGGTACTAGTCATGGAGAAACCCGGCAACAAAACATTACACCGTGGCCGTCATGACTCTCGCCGGATAGTAGTACTGCTCTTCTCCTCATACTCTGGCTGGTCTCACCTGCACATGGCTCCGTCTTGGTTGTTGTGTGCGTTTGTTTGCACTACAGAGGATGCGTACAAAGTGACTTCTGACGTTGATAATGAAGCAGTGGATTTGGATATCCTGGATACTGCCGGTCAGGTAAAGTGATACAATACATGTACTGTTGATGCTGGTTTATTGCCAGGGATGTACAGTAAAATCTGTAACTAAAGACCACCGTGACTAGCGACCAGCCTGGTACTACAGACCACTTCGCCAGGCACGGACGGTCTCACATTCATATATGGTTGTGTGGTGCAAACCTCTAACTAAGGACCACCTGCCACTAAAGACCGCTTTCTCTGGTCCCAAGGCCGGGGGTGGTCGTTAGTCACAGGTTTTACTATATACGATTGCGCTTCAGGGGTGGATACCTTTTTTTCCGGCTATAAGTTGACCCCGATCACTTGGGGCCTCAATTTACCAGTTCAGTATTGATATGATCAATAGCGGTTGTGCCGGGGGGTTGCGCAGTCCTAAACTGGCGAACACCGGGCTGAGAAATAGTGCCAGGGCAAGCTTGAGTGAAGCGACTGGATCTCTGGTCGGTCGAGTTGCTCCCTGTACATCGGCACGTCGTCCCTACATCCCCTGTGTCTTGTTGTGTGTTTGTCTCCATATGTCTCTTTGTAGAGCTGTGTTCCCAATAAAAAATAAAAAAAATAAAAAAATCTCATTGAGCATCACTCTAGTTAGTAGACGTGTAAGTTAGCCTACGCTTTCATGTGCCGGGGGACTAGCTCACATGGTAGAGCGCTCGCTTAGCATGTGAGAGGTACCGGGATCGATACCCGGGTTCTCCAAGAAGTTCTTTTTTCTTCTTTTTTTTGTGACGCCAGCTCAGAAGTGTTCCTTGGTCAGAATTCTAGAAAGGGGAAATCTCTTGTTTTGCAATCACCAAAAAGCAGCAGTTGTCTGCACACAGGAACTGTTTCGATAGAAAAGCAAAAGATGAATGAACTGAGTTTGCAACTTTATCCACCTGTTACGTCCCCATTTTCCGATTCGGTTTTCTTCTTAATAGTACTCTGTTGAGCTACCAAAGTAAAATAAAATAGAGTGAATAGACAATTTTGATTATTATGCAACTTTTTAGCTTCAAAAGCATAATCAATAGGCCAAGCTGGATCGGCATACCATGAACTTCATTTCATAGCGAAAAGAAGAAAAATGTGAGTACAATCATCGACAGACATGGAGCGACAATGATCAGATTCGAACGTTTTCTATAACGTTTCTTGCTCGATGTTCAAGTCTGTTCACCGTAAAAGTCCGTAAATAAGTGCGCACTCAGGCTAGACCAAAAAATAGAGATTCCCGGGCCATCCCGCACCAAAATCGAGCCAAAGTCTTCTTCTTTTTTAACAGTTCATATCCATGTACAGTACTGATCGTGTGAGTAGATCTGCCATGGAGTCACACAAACCCGGGCTTGCACGACTCCCTGATGTACGACTCAGGGCTGTCATTGGCCGAAATACAAAAACTTTGTACGGGTAAACCGCGTACCTGTTGTCTGTAAAAATTAAAAATTAAATTACCGGATAATACTGTAAGAAGAGGGTTCAGCATGCGCCGTGCGTACATACAAAGGAAAGAATATTTTTTTTAACGGCTGACTCGCGCTGTACGTAGTGGCCATCACATAGTCAGCTGATAGCTACAATGTAGCTTGTCTTCTTGCGCTTTGCAGCCACTGAGCTTGTTGTGAGCTGGCAGCGCTGATCGTCAGGTACTGGGCCACTAGAATCCTGAGGCGGTCGACATCCTTGTTCGTATTTCGCAGAATGTGGCGCAACATGTTGAACTTGTGGTGGATGGACTCGCCACCTTGCTCTCCAAGAGCACCAAGAGCAATGCCAAACCTCTCCATGCAGGGGACAAGATGACACTCGAGAAGGTGCAACTTAGGAGTTACAGGGCGTTTGTGGCGTGCTGAAACCTCAGACCGGACATTCGCCATGAAGGAGTTGATCTTCTCCCGCAAGCTGGAAGTGGCAGTGTCGTCTGCTGTGCTAGTCAAAGAGAAGATAGCTCTGCAGGTGGCGTGCGCAGCAAAAAGCGACAAGTACCTCTGAGAATACTCTGCGGCAGCTTGGATCAGTTGATGCAGAGACTGTGTCGGAGCAAAGTAGGCACCATCAGGATTGACAACAGGGGCGACTACATTGACCGGAGCAGATACAATTTCCTGAGTTACTGACGGTTGTAGTGCTTTGTTGATGTGGTTTCCGACAAACTTACCAGATTGATGGGCCTGCCGATCGATCCTGTGCTTCACCAAAACTGGTTCAAGGGATGAAGCGCAAGGACCATTCTTGACCTTAGCACTCACAAGCTGCTCCTCTAAATGAGCGATGCGGCCGCTGAACTCATTCAATTGCTTCTGTTGTGTTGCCCAGTGTTGCTGTACTGAGCAGCAGACCCTCCATGTTGTGCTTCTGCCGCATGTTCTACTTGCACCGCTTGTGCTGCACTCAGCAATGCCTATTGCAGTTGGGTCTGTGCAACACATAGCTGCTGTTCTTGCTGTGCCTTCTCTGATAGCAGTGCCCATAGCTGCTGCTGTTTCTCGGCTACTTTCTTTAATGTTCTGCCGGATGATTCCGTGTTGATCAATCTTGCCAGCATGTGGTCAATGGCTTCTGCATCTCTGATCAATGCCTCAAAGAGCAGAGGTAAAATACCAAGATGAAAGTGCAAATTGGGAATGCACACATCATGTATGTGTATCGGGAGGATTTGTGGTCTAATGACATTGTGGAAAATCTTGGCATTTGGATCCAGATGCCACAAACTGACCATGGTCTTTACTCACAAAGTGCATTGCTCGAGTTGCATGTTGTGGTCACTCAGGAGTGTTAAAGTTAAAAGCGATCTAAAAAGCTTGCTGCTCTTTTTGCTTTCATGCCGTATTCCCAGGAGGTGTTCAGTGCCGTTCGCGATGAGTACATGCGCGATGGCGAAGGCTTCGTCTTGGTCTTCTCCCTGACGCACAGGGGCTCGTTCCACGCGATCAGAGACTTCTACGAGCGCATCAGACTGGCCAAGGACAGTGACGAGGAGCTGCCTGTTGTGCTTGCTGCTAACAAGGTATGGTGAAACCTGTTATAAGAGACCACCCTCCTTTAGAGACCACCTGGCTTTAAAGACCACCTGCCTTTAGAGGCCAACCTCCCTTTAGAGACCACCTGCCTTTAAACACTGACTCCAGGCCCAAGGTTATGCTTCACCTTACATTCTCATCTGTGTAAAAGGAACGCCTTTCTTCTCTCAGAACCGACCTGTGTTTGTGCAGAATTGGGTTCAGGGAAACTTCAGTATACTTTAAAAGCATGTTGTACAGTCAGACCTCGCTTAACCGCACACATCCGTTTTCCACAAAAATATCCGGATAGGCGAGGGAACCGGATAATCGAACACACATACTGGATGTAAGCATGGCATATGCTGTACATTTGTAACCAACTATTTTCTTCCGGATGGCGAGGGATCCGGATAAACGAGGACCGGATAAGCGAGGTCTGACTGTATAACGAATTAAACGAAGTGCTAAATCTAAGGAGGAGAAATCTGTCGTTATTATAAATATAAATATAGAAAACGTTCTAAAACAGAAATCGATGCTGTATTTTTGTAACATGGAAAAATGTGGGCACAAGTTTTGCGATCCTTGGCTCACCATCTGAGTTCTTGATACTGTACCACCGGCCAGCGTTGCCTGGCCGAATGTGGCAAGCGGGTGAAGCAAGTACATGAACAGCACACGTGCTCAGCACGTGGTGGTGGCCAGACCGCTGAAGTCCTGGTGAGGGAGGTTCTTCATCGTTGGAAGGAGAAGGAGGGACGTCTGTTACGCCTTCGGGAGGCTGGTCAGGGTTGTCCATCACCTGGTGGCGGATATCGGATGAAGCGGCTCAAAAAATTCATAAACTTACGAACAAAAGTGCGATGCGCTCTTCACTGCAGATCAGATGCAGAGTGCAGTCAGTGCAGATCTTTTGTATCCTTTTGTTGCAGATGTTTCTATTTGCAGAGAACGGTTCACGTGGTCCGCAGCGCTTGTGCGGCTGCTAGTGCTACCTATGGCCTAGGCTAGGTGGCTACATGATTCGCACGCTTCGCGTGCTCAGTCAGTCAGTGCTTCTTAATTCTGCGCACGGCTGCTACTGCTACTCGTACTGTTCGCACGCTTCGCGTGCTCAGGGCAGCGCTGCTCCGCAGCGCTTCAGCGTGACACAAACACACACGTCACAGGTGCCTCTTCTTTATAAGGAGCGTGACACACACACACACACACACACACACAGACACACGTCACAGGTGCCTCTTCTTTATAAGTAAAGATATAGAAAACGTTCTAAAACAGAAATCGATGCTGTATTTTTGTAACATGGAAAAATGTGGGCACAAGTTTTGCGATCCTTGGCTCACCATCTGAGTTCTTGATACTGTGATTTCACAAATGTTCGGTACTTTTATTTTCGGTACTTTCGGTGCATCTATTTCATACCTAAAATTTCAATAACCGAACAAACACTAACACACGTAATTGTGACATAATCCGAAATTTCTGTTCACCTAGCCTGGCCTTTTGGCTCTTATACCGAAAAAATTTGAGCTCCTAAAATTTCTAAAATTAGAGTCCTTATACTATTTCTAGTGAACGTTGAGGGTGGGTGAGAATCGTTACCTCCGTTGCCACGGAAATCTGATAACGGAGCTTCCAGATCCACACTCTCAAGGAAAGTGCCTTAAAATCAGCACTGCAACATGCTGCCTTGTCACCATGCTCTTCAAAAGCCTTGGTTGTTGGAGGAAGGACACGCACGGACTAGCGATGCACCGACTTAATACTCACATCAGTAGCCTGCACTACTCTTCCAACCAGATTTCTTCGCTTGCGGGCACTGCCGCACCATGTGGCCAACTCTGCCACAGTTGAAACACGCCTGCTCCTCCGTGGTGGCAGCCGCCACAACAACATCGCCACGTACTCGAGTCAAGTAGTCCGAGGTCGCAGCCTTCAAAGCCCGCCATAGCACTCAGCCGCTGCAAATCGGCAACGTAGGCGTCGGGAGACTCGTCCACACGCATCGTCCGTGAGGTGAATTTGGCGTATGCCTGTGCCTTCGTCAGAGTGAACGACTGTTCCATTTTTTGCGCAGACTTTGTCTTTCTGATCGCTTGTCGGCATCAGCGAAAATTCAAGGAACGCATCATCTGTCAGGAACAACGGGAAATTCTTCATCTCCTTGTTGTCGGTGTCCCAACCTTGGATGTTAGCGAGCACCGGAAACTTGTCCCAAAGTCGCCCGAAATCGTCTCCGTTCCCACGGAGCGGCTGGAGAAAGTTGTCAAACTTTAGCGACATCTCGCTGGCGTGGCAGGGTTCGCACTCGTCAATGCAACACACACGTCCTGGGTTTCGGCACCAGTTGTGGAACCCACGTTCGACCACCCAGCACTAACGCAACACTTCGGATTAGGGAACAAGTTATATTATGTGAGTTGGGAGAGACATAGAACCAGACTGAACTACACTGAACTAAAGATCAACTGAACTAATGAAAGACGGACGTGCAATATAAGAAAGAAGTCCAGCTACAGCGTTAGCTGACAAACTAAGAAACTGAAAGGCAGCAAAGACAATGGAAGGTACGCATCACTAGCCCCATTGTTGTTGCAACATGAATGCGGATCCTACCTATCATGTAGCAGTAAAGCTAAACCGAGCCAAACCATTCGTGCGACACGGTTGGTCAATCAGACCGCGGACCAGTCGTGCCCTGCCGGTGACATGATACATACAGCGCAGCTAAGCAAGGTCACCGCGACCAGACTGCAGCGGTGAGCTACAAGTGCACTATAGATGCATGGCTAGACACACACATGACAAAGTGTAGCGCAGCAGGCCACGGATTGCAGCGCACACCGCACGCTCGTCTAGACATGTCTACATCTTTCCTTCTGTTCTCTTTGATTTCAAATTTCGTTTTTCATCATCCTCCCGATGTTTCGGGGTAAACAAGTTAGTTGTTTACGATAGGATTATATTCTCACTTGGCCATTGTGACAAATCATAAGAACGCCAACATCTAAAGGATGCTGCATGAAAGTAGGCAGCTGCGAGATGCGTATCTCGCGCATGCTCTTGCACGGCTACGTAATGCATTACATCATAATACAACATCCCCTTCGTCATAAGGAGTTTAACAACCTACATCACATACCGTACGTACACGACGGCGTGTTCACAATATAGAACATAACATCCAACAATAGCTCTATGTACACTGTAACAATCATGAATGGCACACGACGACGTGCTAACAATACAGAGACATAGTATCCAACAATAGCTCTATGTACAATATAACAATGGCACCTCAGCTAATGTGACATAAGCGAACAGGTCCATAAGGCCTCTCTTGCCCTACACATCCAGGATTGTCCTGGGTGCGACTGCGCGGCCAGACCGTGTTCGATACAGCTGGGTGGCAGGTTCAGCAGGCTGGCTGACGTCACACGGTGACGGCGGCTGAGACTGGCTAATGTCGCTCCACGGCGACGGCACGTCACTCAGCGGCTGAGGCCCGCCAATGTCGCTGTGCGTCGACGGCTGAGGGCCTGCGGGACTGGCATCCGGCGGGAAGTGGACCCGCCTCTCTCTGAGGTGGGTACGGTTGCGCCTCACTTCTCTCCCATGGTCAGGCTGCACCATGTATGACCGTGGCCCGTTGGCAGACTGGGGTACGATACCAGGTTCCCACAGGTGCGTGGTCGGGCTGCGGATGCCGACGTGCTGACCAGGAGCTAGGGGGCGGAGAGACTGCGCTCGCTGGTCATGGTGCACTTTCTGCTGGTCCTGCCGTTCCTCGAGCTTCTGTCGGATGGCCTCGTCCCGAGTGTCGCGCTGGTGTTTTCGAGGCAGGTTGTCCTGTACCTGACGACCGAACAGCATCTCGGCCGGCGACGGTAAGCCCTGGCACACTGGGGTGGCGTGAATGCACAGCAGTGCTAAGTGCGGGTCGGTCCCGCTCTCCCTTGCCTTCTCGAGAGCTCTCTTAGCGATCTTGACTTGCGATTCGATAAACCCGTTACTCTGCGGGTGATGTGGCGACGACATACTGTGGCGGAATCCATATTCGGCAGCGAACTCCGTGAACAGATGGCTGCTGTACTGCAGCCCGTTGTCCGACTTCAGCACGGCTGGGATGCCATGCTCACCGAAAATCTCATTGAGGTGCTGGATGATGGCCCTGCTGGTTGCTTGTCCGGCAGGCAGCTTCCGGGTGATGAAGTACTTGGAGTAGTAGTCGGCGGCAATGAGGTATTCTGACCCGCCGAGGCAGAACAGGTCCGTGCCGAAGGTGTGCCATGCCCTTGGCGGAATATCGGGCTGCACCAGCGGTTCCTTGGCTTGTTGACTCAAGTTCTGGTCCACGTATGTGGGCGTGGGTTCGAATCCCACTTCTGACACCATGTTTCGGGGTAAACAAGTTAGTTGTTTACGATAGGATTATATTCTCACGTGGCCATTGTGACAAATCATAAGGACGCCAACATCTAAAGGATGCTGCATGAAAGTAGGCAGCTGCGAGATGCGTTCAATCTGTTTTTGTTTCTCTTCTTCTCCCGGTTTCCTGATGCGTGAAGTAGGCGCGGATGCCGAGACCATTGGTCGGCGGAGCCTGCAGCACCCCATCACCACCGCTGCGTTGCATTTGCAGCCCCATTCAGTCAATGTCTTGTTAGTCTGTTGTTTTGTCATTTCCTGCTTCTTTCTTCTTTTACGAATTGGGTGCGTGGTTTCAAGTAAAAAATAAAATAAATAAAAAATGCGTATCTCGCGCATGCTCTTGCACGGCTACGTAATGCATTACATCATAATACAACACCCGACACCCCAAGTCTCTTGTCCTTCCACCAACTGGCAATTACTTTGCTAAATCCTTCCTTTTTCTTATCGCTGTTGCTTGGAGTAAACTTCCTGCTGATATACGTTCACTCGATAGTCCCACGCTATTTAATCGCCAGGTAAGGAAGCTTTATGAAGTTTACCGCTTCTCAGTTTCCGGCATACCTAGTTTCACGTGTTGAACAATATAGTCTAAATCCGCTGCTGCAGTTATTTTGTTTTAGTGCCTTTCCAGTGTTCTATTAGCACCCCTGGTTCTCAATCTATTGTTCTTCCTCTCCTTTGACTTCAAAAATCTCAGATTTTGAGTTTTTTGCACTCCATACATAAATTTATTCTCATTATTTATATAGTATTGGTTTGGTGAGACTCCCATGATAGGTATCCATTTACCTCTGGAGAATCCGTAAATAAACAAACAAACAAAGACATTGACGGTAGACTAGAGATGAAGGCTATCACCTGCAGCCAGTCAATGGATACTACATACGTAGTTGTAGAACACAGACATACAGGTGAGAATGCAGCACTTCGGATGGCATCAACGAACATGTGCTGCATACCGGTTCCATTTCACCGAATAGATCAGGCGGTTGGTGGAGCTGTGGCTTGAATCTCAAGCGCCAGGCAGCTCACCAGCTCCAATGGCTTTCTCGCCACCAAAGTGGACCTCCTCGGCACTTCTTGAACAGTGCATCTGCTCAGTCTGTGAGGCCAACAATCTAATACAAGCCACAAAAGAAAAAAACTCATGACAGAAAGCTTCTTTTGCTGAGTCTCCGGCAATGAAGAGTAAAAGCCGCACTACTTTAAACACCAGCATGGTAGTTCACCCATACAACAGTCAGTGTGGCTTATGCTAGGATGTACAAATTTACGGTGATAAACAGGGTAGATGTCTGTATTCCGTGACAAAAAAAGCTGGGTGCGGCTTATACTCTAGTATAGTGCGGCTTATACTTTGGAGAATACGGCGTACATGTACTTAAGTTGTTCATTGCAAGTTTACACTTTTTACACTTGATGTGTTCGTTTGTTTGACTGGTTCTGTGCAGAGCGACCTTGTCGATGAACGCCAAGTGACGGTCGAAGAAGTGACAAGCCTTGGCAAGGAGCTAAACTGCCCGTACCTGGAAACATCAGCGTTAAAACGTTCTAACGTTGACGAGGTCTTTCATGAGGTAAAGTCCCCTCTATTTGCTTGTTCAGCATGGGATTATTTGCACATGCCGCGCCAGTTTTGTGAAATGCATTTTTCTATCTTGTGCCATTGCTTGGACTTTGGATTAAACCTGATAAAGCAAAGGGATTTGCTCTTGAAGCTGCGGTGTATCCTGTTCTCATTTCAGTCAACTCCGATACCTACGTTCGTGTGACGCTGATGCCAAGTGTGTGCTAAAGAGATCATCTTGTTTTGTTTTAATTCGGATTGCGCATGCTGCGAAATGGTCTTGAATGCTTGGACCGCCTGCATGTACATGTATTATTGTCTTCAGTGTGTTTCGCCCGGTGCTCATGGTTTGGATACGTGCGATGTTTGTTTGTGTTTAGGCTGTGAGACTGGTGTGGGCGGATAAAAAACACTACCGTCTTCGGCATGGCGGTGAAAGAAGTGGCGACAACTGTTCTGGCCGATGTTGTATCATTCTTTGAGAACAGTCTTTCTCTCTAGGCGGCCATTGTACATACGACAGGAGTTCTGTACAGTTTGCTCGAGTTCATCTCTCTCTTTCATAATTGCCAGGTTGCCTCTGAGGACTTAGCTGGTACTGTGCCAATAGGTCCTTTACAGTCCCATGAATCCGGTCACGCATTGCAATCTTCACTCTGGACTATAGAAAATTTGCTCATCTCTCCCACTCTTGCTGTATCCGTAGCGCTCCCATTTTGCCCTTGATATTTAGGTTTTCAAGTTGAAACACTAGGTCGTGTACATGTAGGCCGTCGAAAGAAGCTATTATTCTCTATCTAGTTCCCGTAACTTACTCACGGTCTGGCTGATCGTAACGCAGTGTTTATGAGGATCTCAGTGTTTTTGTTTGTTGTCTTAGTCTGTAAGCTATTCTATTGCGGTTTCACCCGATACTGACTGATCTCTGCTTTAACCTGCATGTAGCTGTAGTGGCTGGAACGGCTGCACCACTGAATGATTCTCAATGCCTCTGTTTGTATCCAGTGATTTCTTCATCACAATTTTCTTCATTACTGAGCGTAGACAACTTACTTACACTTCTATTTGTTGGATTCAATCATAGTTGTTTTTTCCTCCCAACAAGATAATATTATTTTCATATGTGTGCCAAGTAGTACCTTCTGTCAGTTGTTTTGTTTCTAGGTAGAAAGGAATGTTGGTATTGTGCTCAGAAACTACATGTACTAGCTCTTACCTAAGGTGTGGTCACTGAGGTGCTTCGATGTGAGCAAGAAAAGGACTAGGATGAGTTTAGGGGGGTGGGGTGGGGGGTCAGGTACCTACCTACACGTACCTAGCATTTTCCAAGAAGGTACTTATGATGGTAGTGTGTTGGGGTACAACTCTCTACAGTAGTCGACATACCACATTACTATGTCACGGTTACAGTGAGAACAGCCTAATTAGACAGTGATTACGTCATGTAACTCATTTGTTGTTTTGGAACTATACTAGTAGTAGTACATTATTACTATACTAGAACGCTCATTGAATGCTACAAAGTACATGGCTGTCTCCGCTTCATAAAATTAATGTAGTTTCCGGGGAAAAAAGTTTTCCGTGTTCTGAAAAACGTATTTCCGGGGACCCCAAATTTTCACTGGCTCTACAGACTGTCTACACTCATGTCATGATGGTACGACGCATGGTGCTTGAATGTGAAGGGTCGGAACTAGTTCTTACTAATCTTAGGCTGGGCCGGCAATCACGGAAGTCAATGTCTAATACCTAGTGATGGCTAATGCCTGGCAGTGAAGATTTGGTATCGGCCATGGCATAATAATAATTATTGTGAATGGCCACACTCCAGTCATCTAATCTACACGTCCACACGTGATGGTCTTGTGCTTCAACACTTTTTTCTTTATTTCTTTGAATAAGCCTCTTAGGGGCCGTCCGTAAATATCGAACGTTGTTCACCAAACGAATTGTTTTAGTTTAGACCCAACCCCTCCCTCCTCCCCCTCAGAACGTAAAAAATTGTTGACGTATACATGCATATACAACAAAAGTCGCAAGTGTGCCACTGCTCCTGTGGCCATGTACATGTATCGAAGTTTTCTGAAACGAAATTGGTCAACCCCCTCCCACCCCATAACGAAATTATTTCGTTTTGTGAAAAAAGTTCGATGATTATGGACGACCCCTTATACGGCGGGCAATCACAGAACATGATAATCACTGGCCTGACGCAACAACTAAAGACAAAGCAAACTTGTTACTTCAACACTCAACAGTCAATACTTGAACAGACTGTAGGCTAGCACCGAGCACTGCCACTGAGCATTGAGCAACCAATACTCATTTATAATCATGTTCTCATATTTTCTAATATTAATTTTGTTCTGCTTTTCTTGTCATTCTTGCCTCTTGTGTTTGTTTGTTTTCCTCTAGTTTTCTTTTGTTTGCGGAGAAGGCGGAGAGCCGCGAAACAAAGAACTTTTTTTTAAATATTTTTCACGGAGAAGGCGGAGAGCCCGAAGAACGTGCCGGCCCTTGTAAGTAGTTGTATCATACTCATGTCATGATTGATGGAGCATTGAGCGACCACCTACATGTACATGTACATGTACTTGCACATGTACAATAATAATGTCAATATTATGTACATTACGTACATGACATTGTACTTTTAGACCCTGACGTTTACTTTTCATTCTTTCATCGACTTATTGCTCACAAATCGTGCGCAGCGTTCGTGTCAATTAAACAGGTGAGAACTTTATTCCGTCTTGAGAACTACTTGTGGTTGTTAAAGAAGTGGTAATGATCAATTATTGGACACCCGGCGCCGGCGGTGCACCACGCCATAATAATAAATAGAGGCAAACGCGATGGCATTCTGCCCATTGTTCCGGGCAGGCAGCTGGACTCCCCGAACACGTTTGATGACACAACGATAAGACGTGCAAATGAAATAAACCTTCTTTGGAGCATGGAGCATCCAGGCAGAGGTTACTTTGCTCGAGGCGATGATATCATCCTTTCTCTCTCTCTCTCCCTCACTCTCTGTCTGTCTGTCTGTCCATCCATCCGTCCGTCTGTATGTCTGTCTCTGTTTGTTGGCACCTAGCCAAAAGTTAGTAGTCGACACCCTTCGCTTTCTTTACTTCACACTGACCTTGAAAAGTGTATGAATGCGGCGGTTTACATAGCCAGTAGCCACAACATTCCGGTGTGAAGAAGTTAGAGATCTGTTTCTCGTGAACCTGCAGCCACTTACATGTACATGTACATGTACATGTATGCAGGTGACACCAGAGCTCAGTAGTAGCCCTTTCCCAAAGATGCCATAATTTTTCGCAACTTATGCTTTCGCAACCGTGCCAAAACAGGTGCTAGTTGCTGAAATCGCATCCATATTTTCAGGAAAAGCTCAAAACTTGCTAATATCGCAACGTAAAATAATTGGAGAGTTCCTGTGCAAAAACCATCAAAAACAGGAGCAGAAATACATGTAGCATGCAGAAGTGCAGCGACAGCGAACTCGTACACCCCTTCCTGCTGTGTATCCTACATCATTCCAATGCATGGGAAAGGGAATGCACATTATCGTAACTTCCGTTAATCTACTGTTTCTCTGAAATTAGTGGAGTATGCGGAGTATGCGCCATTGGTATGGATGGGAGCAGCTTCAAGGCATCTGCTCCTTCTCGATCGAGTGCAGAGACGCGCCCTCCACATTCTTGGCCCTGATGTCCTCCTCCAGAGTTTGGCAGTAAGGAGATTGGTCGCCGCCCTCAGCTATACGTATAAACTGATGTGTCTGGCAGGGCCACCGCAACTAACGTCGCTGGTCCCCCCACAGCTTCCTCCACGAACATGTCCTCGAACTCGGTCCGACCACTCGGTGCGCAACGAGTCTCAGCTACAGAACGTCCTCCCGGCTTCCTCTCCCGATTACGTGCGATGGTGCTTCCCCTACAGCATCATTGATGAGTGGAACAACTTGCCCCCAACTGTGCTGCAGTCTCCGCCATGCCTGACGTCCCTCCAGTCGTTCAAGGGCAAGGTGCATCAGCACCCACGACAAATCCGCTGGTATTGGGCTACAGACTCGCTGTAACACCCCATATATCCACAATCAACTCCCTCTCCCTCACTTATCTATTTACATGTGTTTCGTAATCCCGTCCATGGTGCGCTGGATAGCGCTAACGCCGAGACCCTAGGTCGGCGTTACTAGTCCCGCCTCACCGGCACAGGCTCCCTGAGAGCCCCTACTAGTACATTGTCCGTCTTTCTCCTGTGTTGTCTCGATCATTATTTTCTTTTGTCTTCTTCTTCTCCTCTCTTTGTTATGGTCTATCAGTTGGAGGTGCATTCTGTTAAAGGGGAAGTATACCCTAAAATCAAATTTTCACCAGTTGTAGTCTTCGGGGTGCTGAGTCGAATGGTCTTGGTCCGAGGAAGCTGAGACGCTCCCTTCCTACTTGAATCCCAATCGAACTCGCGCACTTCCACCGAAACTGGGTGACTGCGCCCTACTAGATGGGGATTTGTATGCAAAATGTCACTAAAAGCGCCATTTCGTTCTTATAAAAGCACGGATGACCGCGATTGGCCCATATGTTGTAGTCTTTTGGACGCTGAGTCGACTGGTTTTGGTCCGAAAAGGCTGCGATGCAGCGTTCCTCCTTTATTCCCAATCGAACATGGTTGAACAAGCGGTCACGTGCTCCTGCGTACACCAGTCAGCTGGTCACCGTGCCTGCAGGGTACAACTTACTAGCCTGTTTGACCTTTTTTGGGTGCAGTCCTGTCACTCGAGTTGAACTCGAGTTGAACCTTGGTGTGAAAGTTGTCGCCTGCTGGCGCAGTGACCAGGTGATTTGGGCACCCAGGAGCACGTGACCGCTTGTTCAGCCATGTTCGATTGGGAATAAAGGAGGAACGCTGCATCGCAGCCTTTTCGGACCAAAACCAGTCGACTCAGCGTCCAAAAGACTACAACATATGGGCCAATCGCGGTCATCAGTGCTTTTATAAGAACGAAATGGCGCTTTTAGTGACATTTTGCATACAAATCCCCATCTAGTAGGGCGCAGTCACCCAGTTTCGGTGGAAGTGCGCGAGTTCGATTGGGATTCAAGTAGGAAGGGAGCGTCGCAGCTTCCTCGGACCAAGACCATTCGACTCAGCACCCCGAAGACTACAACTGGTGAAAATTTGATTTTAGGGTATACTTCCCCTTTAAAAAAAGTCTGAAGCCGTGAAGGCAGGCGAGAAATGAGCGAAAATGCGTTTTTCCGACATGTAGTCCGTGACTTGACCTTTATACCCCATGCCATTGGGCCAAGGTTGCGGAAAAGTTGCGAAATAGTTCGCGAAAAAGAAGAAAGTTGCGAAAGTTGCGATTTCTTCCTAACAACGAAACAACGAAAAGTTGCGAAAAAAGCGGCGAGCATCTTTGGGAAAGGGCTAACCACCATGCCTGATTGTACCAGGGTGGCAGATCCAGAGCAAGGGCGAGGCGGTAAGTCTCACGACCAATGCCTGATAAGGGGTCGTTTAGCTGTACCAGTATAACGTGCATACATGAACCATTTCTCAGTTAGCGACATGTGGCAATGCCAATGCCAATGCCAATGGTTTCTTATCTACTAGTACCCAGTAGTAGAACACATCCCATGTAACAGGCTAGTAACATCTCAAGCCACAAAACCAGGTACAGTGTAGAAGGCCCAACAGACACACAAAAATGCAATGTACTTCACGCTTGTACATATACAGTGCACCAGGTCCGTGGTACACGTACATGTACACGCGGACTGGCATTTCTGTTTTTCATGAATATGAAGTCCCGGGTATGCCTACCACTAGTGCACTGTATGGCTACCACTGCAACCCACAGAAGTCACTCCTCCTGGTCAAGCCCTCCAAGTACGAGTCGTACGCAGCTGCTGTCGAGACCTTCGAAGAGACCGGTGTACAGGTCACATGTGATGGGTGCCGCCACCTAACCTTGGTGCACCACGCAGGCTTTGGGCACGGACGAGTTTGTGGAACAATTCGTCCAATCCAAGGTCGTCACCTGGTGTGAGGAAGTTGCGCAGCTCACGACCATCGCTGCATCGCAACCACAAGCCGCCTACTCCGCATTCACGCAGGGCCTGCAAAACAAGTGATCCTTCCTCTGCCGGACCTCCTCCGTCCCGCCGTCCCTTCTTGAACCGCTGGAACACGCAATCAGC